GCCCCCTTCTGGGGCCACGAAACGCTTGAGGGGTGTGCCAAAAGAGAGGGGGGGATGGCGCAATGTGGGCGCAACCACTGGGGCCTTCGGTGGAGCTCCCTACGGGGCCACGAAGCGCGTGAAGAGTGTGCCAAAATGAAAGGGTGACGGCATGCGGGCGCAGCCACTGGGGCCTTCGGTGGAGCTCCATATGGGCCACGAAACGTGTGAGGGGTGTGCCAAAGTGAGGGGGGCGACGGCAGGTTAGAGGGATGAGGAGGAGGGTGGAGGAGGAGGAGGAGGAGGAGGGTGGAGGAGGAGAAGGAGAAGGAGGATGATGATGATGAGGAGGAGGAGGAGAGGAGGAGGAGGAGGAGGAGAGGAGTGGACGCGGGGACTGTCTGTTCAAATCGGGGAACCAGAACCCAGCATGGCAGGGGAACAACAAAACAGGGTCCCCTGCATTTTGTTTGTTTTCTTGTATGTGCTATTGATTGTTTCGGTTGGCTGACCCAACTGGGGCCCTCGTCCATCTTTCGCGCCTGCCACAAAAAGGAATGGTTCTGATGCGATTTACAAAAATATTCCTTGCGCGGGAGCTTATAAAATAATACCTGTGTTGCGCGTTAGAGATACAGTGAAAAGAGAAACACAACAACACCAACACCAACACCAACACCAACACCAACAACAACACCACCAACAACAACAGCAACATCACCAACAACACCACCACCAACACCACCAACAACAACAACAAAGAAATTGAAAGAAAAATCGCCGAGCTCATTGTAGAAACACGACCTCATGTAGTTCAATATGTGCGTGGCAATGAATTCTGAAGAGCTGGAAATTGTCCACCCGACTGCTCGCGAAATCACACCACCCACCCACTCGCAACTTGCCTTGAAAAACTCGTGCGGCCGCGATTGCAGTGATCGCTCGGTGCTGGCTGGCGCATCCCTGCGGCCGCACTAACGCGCGTAGGCTCGCGCGCAGAACGGCCAACTAGTTTGGCGTGACCGACGCAGCCGCGGTGGCGCTGATCGATGGGGACGTTGCACCGTGTCTCGCAAGCCGCCCTGGCGCCCGGGCACTTCACTGCGAGTCGGTATTCTGGGCGGGCGCGCTATCATCGTGACATCGACAACGGCAGACACGATGATGATGGCAGCGATGCTGATGGCGATGACGAAGGCAAGGCCAATGACGGCACCGATGCTGGTCACGCTGGTGACGACGCGTCAATGATCAAGGTTTTGGAATGATTTCGCCATGCGCGCGCGGTCGGCACGCGCGAGTGGCCCTCATGGTACTATCCGCCGGCCCCCTTGTGGGGCCACCAGGCTGCGAGGCGCGTGATTCGCAGTTTCCTGTACCAGTTGTAGCTTGTAGTTTCCAGTGTTACAGTTCTGCTTCTTGCTGGTTACTGTAACTAGTTGACTTCTTGCTGGTTACTGTAACTAGTTGATTGATCGCGCGAGGGGGGGGCGGCCCACAGGGATTTTTAGCGTCCCCTGGGCGCGTTGTCTGAATTGCTGGGGGGGCTCGAAATCGATACCCCTCACGCAGATCCGCGGGGTCAGGGTTCAAAAACACAACGGATTTGCCACATTTCTGAAATTCGGTGCCACCCCTCACGCAGATCCGCGGGGTCAGGGTTCAAAAACACATGGGATTTGCTACATTTCTGAAATTCGGTGCCACCCCTCACGCAGATCCGCGGGGTCAGGGTCCAAAAACACAGGGATTTGCCACATTTCTGAAATTCGGTGCCACCCTCACGCAGATCCGCGGGGTCAGGGTCCAAAAACACAACGGATTTGCCACATTTCTGAAATTCGGTGCCACCCCTCACGCAGATCCGCGGGGTCAGGGTCCAAAAACACATGGGATTTGCCACATTTCTGAAATTCGGTGCCACCCCTCACGCAGATCCGCGGGGTCAGGGTCCAAAAACACAGGGATTTGCCACATTTCTGAAATTCGGTGCCACCCCTCACGCAGATCCGCGGGGTCAGGGTCCAAAAACACATGGGATTTGCCACATTTCTGAAATTCGGTGCCACCCCTCACGCAGATCCGCGGGGTCAGGGTCCAAAAACACAACGGATTTGCTACATTTCTGAAATTCGGTGCCACCCCTCACGCAGATCCGCGGGGTCAGGGTCCAAAAACAGGGGATTTGCCACATTACTGAAATTCGAACCCATCACGCACATCCATCGCAAGGCGTGGTAACCCAAACTGCGAGAACTCCCTCGGCCCTTTAATCGCAAGGTGTGGTAACCAAGCCCTTAAACCATACACGTCTTACCAATCGCCAGGTGTGGTAACCCCTCTTGTGATCAGTTGGTTTTGCTGATTGCGACTCGGCTTCGCATGAAGTTTCGATACTGCTTCACGACAGCGCCAAGGCCTCATGACTTAGCTCTTCCATGGCCCATTCTCCGAGAGAGGGGGCCGGCGGCAGGGGGCGAAGCCCTTACGGATTTGATAAGATCGCCCCCCCCCCCCCCCGAGCAAACACGCAACGGCGTCCGAACGATTCCGGTATGCGCGCGCGCGAAAGTCCCGCTTCGTCACATCTGATTAACATGTTGCAACACTTCCGGCTGTCGTAAAATCTACAAACGTGCGCCGAGCTTTTGTAAGACAAGCATGTTGCAAAATCATGTGTTAGATGCTTTCGGGGCACCCGATCTTGGACTGCGTGCGCGCACGGCGACGCGCGCGTGGTGACTTTGTTTGGCTTTTGCGAAGGGCTTCTGAAAGTAACTGATTTCTTGTAGTGAGTTCGTGTACACAATATTCTTCGACAGGGATGAAGGCGGGTCGGTAGGCGGTTTCGTTGGGTGAATCGCACTATCCAATGCAGTGCCGATACTTCCCGGGGGTGCCGGGGGGGGCGTAGATTAGACATTGTTTGCTGGAGAAAGTGTCCACGCAGTGCCATGTATATATATATATATATATATACGCATACAGATGGTGCAATGTATGAGGTGCACTTTATGTGGGTGGCGACGAAGCGACAACGGGGCGGCGACGGCGGCAGCATTGCCGCCAAACCGACGCCCAGGCCCAGATGACGGGCAGCGACGAGGCGGCGACGGTGTGGCGACGGCGGCCACATAGTCGCCCGACCGTCACACGGGCCCAGACGACGGGCGGCGACGAGGCGTCTTCGGGGCGGCGACAGCGGCAACGTAGCCGCCACAACGCAACCCTGGCGCAGCTCGCAGAGAAGTAAGAAGCGTGAAGTGCGCGCACTGTTCGACGAGTAGACATCAAACATAAGCTGTCGGAACTCCGCGGGGGTGGTTTGGATCGGCACTGCATCCACCTCTTTGGCGCGCGGAGCACGCCAGGGGCGACGCCCGAAGCGCCGCCAGGGGGATCCAGCTCAGATCCAATAGATCCTCGCGGAGCTTCGGAAGTTTATGTCCATACAGCTTGTTAATTCTTATAGTGAGGGGGGCGAGCGGTCTTACATCATTCCTGCGTGTTCCTGCGTGCGTGGGTGGAGTGGGACCATGTGCCTCGGATTATACGTGTTGGTGCTTGTTGTGGTTGATTTCTCACTTCTGAAGAATAATGAAATCTTGATCTCACCCATTGGTGCCCATGCCAGTTGTCAGTTAAAGTGCTCCTCCTGGGGCTCGCACCCGGGCTCTTGCATGTGAACGTCGTGGGGCTCAGATACTGCTGTTGGCCCCTCGTGCAGCCCGATCCCCGAGCCTTCGCGAACGCGAAGTTGCTTGCGCGAGACGGTCAAGTTTATCAGAGTGAGGTGGCCGAACCATCATTCATTGCCCCTATGTGCGTGGCAGAAGTGGCCTTTGGCTTCCATGGGTCATGGGATTTGCGTCGCATGCGTTGTCGATCTTGTAGTATCTATAATTATTCCAACTGCCTACCGACCATCGAAGATCGAGGACAGCGCCTCACGTTCTGACCCTGATTGCCCCGAAGGAGACCTCCGAGGACATCCAAGGAACTGAATGGGGCCCCACTGCCTCCCTCAAGAAATAAGCCCTTGTGCAACTCCTGCAGTCGGGGTGGGTTGAAGAGGACACGCGAGAGGACACAAGACTCTTCCGAGGGCCGCATATGAATGTAGAAGCATGGGTCGCGAGGCACGGGACACAAGGATACCCTTGATTTGGCAGGGTCGACGTACTAATCCGCCTCGACTGTAATGAAAATGACACCTTCTTCTTGTGGACTGGCTGACGAGCGAACCAGATCCGGCCGTGGCGACGGCGTCAACGAAACCATCTAGAATCTAGAAGACCGTCCCGCAGCCCCCCGAACTTAGAGAGCAAGCGCGAGATAAGCCTGGTCGACTCAGTCTCTCCATGAAGGCAATTAGCCCGTTTTTCATTCTCGGCGATAATGCCCTCGACCGACCCCGCCTCCCCCCAACCCTTCTTGCCCCCCGCTGGTCACGTCACAATTCGAATCTGCGCCGTGTCCAAGAATGAGCCATTCGCAGGCATTCCCAGACGGCGCCGGCGCAAGTCGTGACGTGACTGACCCCCTCCCTCCCTCCCCCCTGGTCACGCCCGTCAACGCCAGAAGATAAACAAAACAGTCTCAAGCTTGGAAGGCAGCCGCTGGACCTTTTGGCGCGCTCCGCTGTGTGTCGCGCGCTCGCGGTGATCTTGCTCGACTCCCTCCAGATGCCGCAGCCCGCAGGACTTGAGCAAGCAGGTGTCGCAAAAGAGCACGCGAGTTCTGGCGCAGGGACGCTGTTCACAGCAGGGCCCGAATGTAGGTCCAGAAATAATCTAACGCTTCAGTGGGCGGCGAGCCTGGGGGGGAAATGAGAAGAAGAAGGCCTTCTCATAAGCCCTCGCGCCTTCTGAGAGATGTTCTGTGTCTTCGGGGAGGGCTTAGAAAACTTCTCAGAAGGCCAGGGAGCTTCCAAACCTTCTGAGAAGGCCGGCCCCTTCTTGTTTCTGCCCCTCGCTCGCAGCCGATACAAATCGAGCATCCCGAAAGGTGACACGTGGTCGTCACAAGACCTTCGCCTCCGTTTTCAGCTTTTCAAGCAGCTCGTCGACGCTGTCCACCTGGCCGGGGCTCCCAGCGTGACAAGGATCGCAAGGGGCAAGCACGGACCTGCGGCATGGATGTAGCATGCCGACCGAGCCCTGGAACCTGACTATTGCGACTCCTCCTCCTCCTCCTCCTCCTCCTCCTCCTCCCTCTCCCCCTCCCCCTTCCCCTCCTCCCCCTGCTCCTCCTGCTCCTTCGCCTCCTCCTCCTCCTCCTCCTCTTCCTCCGCCTCCGCCTCCGCCTCCGCCTCCTCCTCCTCCGCCTCCTCCTCCTGGCGGCACAACAGATACCGATGTCGCTTCTCCATGTACCTCTCCCGTGGCGCGTTCTGACCAAGACTTCGGGGCGAATCCGGCCGCGGCGGCCAGGGAAGGACAGCAGTGTTGGTATATGTACCTGCTCTGGCCTGCTCCTTTCTCCTCCCTGGCTGCCCCCCCCCTCCCTTCCCCCTCTCCCTCCCTCCCAGGACTGCCTGGCCCTTGTCTCCTCGCCGCCCAGGGGTGGGCCCCCCTCCCCCGACGCGCTCTCGGTGGCGGTGGTCTCCGCTTCTCCTTCGAAGGACAGAAAACGGAGGCGACACTGGGAGCGGGGGAGATGAGGACGATGCAAGCGTGTGGACGCCCGAAACGGGTACGATGGAAATCGGTACGATGCCCAACAACAAATGATGTCCAACACCGAGAACAGGCGCTGTTGGGCAGGCGGCCATCTGTCTCAAATGGACAACGGCCGCGGCGACGCCGACAACGAACCCTGTTCGGAATGAATCAGAACTGATGTTGGACTTTGTGCCCGCTCTATACGTACCCATTTCGATCGCCCCGAGATGCAAGCAGGGGGAGGGAGAGAAGGAACTCCCCGACGACCCCGGAGGACTCGGAAGGCCCCCGGAAGACACTGGAGGTTCCCCCCCCCCTCAACGAAATCAAATGTAGGACAACAACAGAAAACAAAAAACACGTACACCCTGCGAAATGCTTTAGAAATCATGGGTTAAGAAATTCATGGTCTCAGAATTTGAAATCAAACCCAGAATGTCTATTCAAATGTTAGGATTTACATTGAAGCAGTAAGAATAATCGAGACTCTGGCCGAAAACTTGGGTTTTCTTAAGCATCGCCTGGAGTGTATACAACCATAATAGCGAAAAAACATCGCACAACGGGCGCCGGTGCAGTCGCGAGGGCCTCAGCCGCGGCGCGCGTGAGGCCACGCACCTTCGCACGCGCCCTGGACGCCAGGCGAGAGCAGAGGGAATGCTCTTCGTTTCAGGTTGGGGCCGCTCAGATGGAAAGCGTGGGCCTATTCGAACATTGAGATACTCGGGTCGTTCGGCGTTTCGCACGTGCTCGGATATGCAAAAAAGTATTTCAGTAGCCACTGAGGAAACTAGTGCTAGGCGAACTGGCAGGAGAAGGTGATGCCGATCAGCGCAGATGCGCCTGGCCTGACCAGAACAGCGGTTCAAAATCTTGCGTGGCACGTGTGCGGCAACATCATCTGAAACGACGCTCGTTGCCGTGAACAAGGAGACGGGCGTGCTGAAGAAAATGCCAAATCTTTCAAATTAATCGAAGGTTCTTTCGGCCAATTTTCTGGCCTCATCACAACTTGGTTCGAGGCTGCATTCCCTCGAGTCGCCGCAAACCTTAGGAACTCCGCGCGTGTTTCTTGGATCGGTGCGTGGTTGCCTCAGAGTTCCACTTGAGGTCCCTTGGATTTCTTAGGAGTTCCACTTGAGGCCTAAGCGGTTGCGATCGCATGCCGCCACCCCCCTCCCTTGGGCACACTCCTCACACGTTTCGTGGCCCCATAGGGAGCTCCACCGAAGGTCCCAGTGGCTGCGTTCGCATGCCGCCACCCCTGACTTTTGAACACCCCTCACACGTTTCTTGGCCCCATGGGGAGATCCACCGAAGGCCCCAGCGGCTGCGTTCGCATGCCGCCACTCCCCTCACTTTGGGCACACTCCTCACACGTTTCGTGGCCCCATGGGGAGCTCCTCCGAAGGCCCCAGTGGCTGCGTTCGCATGCCGCCACATCCCTCGCTGTGGCACACCTCTCACACGTTTCGTGGCCCCATAGACAGCTCCACCTGAGGCCCCAGTGGCTGCGTTTGCATGCCGCCACCGCCCTCACTTTGAAACACCCCTCGCACGTTTCGTGGCCCCATGGGGAGCTCCACCGAAGGCCCCAGTGGCTGCGATCGCATGCCGCCACCCAGCTCACGTTGGAACACCCCTCACACGTTTCGTGACCCCATGGGGAGCTCCACCTGAGGCCCCAGTGGCTGCGATCGCATGCCGCCACACCCCTCGCTTTGGCACACCTCTCACACGTTCCGTGGCCCCATAGGGAGCTCCACCTGAGGCCCCAGTCCGCTACCCCCCTCGCTTTGGCACACCCTCACACGTTTCGTAGCCCCATACGGAGCTCCACCGAAGGTGCTAGTGGCTGCGTTCGCATGCCGCGCCCGCATGTTTTCCCCCCCTTCTCCCGGTGCCTGTCAGACGCAACGGTTTCCATCAACATGCTGTAACCTGTTTCGTCTGACCTCCGCGACCCCTGCGGGCGGCCGCAGCGGCAGCACCCGTATGGCGGCCCCGCCCCGCGCCCTCGGCCTGAGGTACGCATTATTGGTTTCCCGCTGGCTCGAATCGATTGTGGGACTCTCGCCGCTCCATGACGGCCCCAGAGACCCCAAGCTCGCCCAAAGATCGACCAAGAGGCTTCGAAGAGGGCCCCAAAACGACCCAAGAGGACCCCAAGACGGCCCACGGGGCTCCCAAGACGGCCCCCAGGGGGTGCCCAGACGGGGAACCCGAACGGACATCTCGAGTCCTCGGCCTGAGAGGCTCACAAGTAGCGCCTAGAATCAGGTCGGGCATGTCCCCCTACAGGCGGATTTTGGACGAAGCATCAAAAATAGTAAACAAATGCAGAACAAAGCCAACAAAAATACCCCAAACATCGTCCCCAGAGGATTTTAAAAACTATGTCTGAATATCCCCCCTGTAGAGGGACAGACACGACTTAAGCGTAGAAGCCCCCAGGAGGCCCCCAAGAGATCTCCACGAGTCCTTCAGGAAGCCCCAAGAGGCCCCCAGGAGCCTCCGCACAGGCAGCTCCAAAGAGGCCCCAAAACTGCCCCCCCAGAGGCCCCTGAGAGCGCCCCGAGCGATGCATCGGCGGTGCATCAGCAACGTCGGCACTGCATCGGCGACATCGGCATGGAG